CAGAAATCGAGCCACTTCGTTCCACAGAAGTGCCGCAAATTCTCAGAAGCGGGACTCGAAAATGCATGGTAATGAGGGACGCAGCATAGTATGCCTACAAAACCAACCCGAAACTCAGAGACTTAGGGCAACTTCCTGACCCAACACAATTGCTGTACCACACGTGTACATGAGGATAAAAAAATTTAGTAAGTACCTGGCTAAAACGTTTCTGACAAACAAAAAGCTACTGCACAAGCATGTCAGCAGATTTCGCAAACTGAAGCATGGCATCACTCCACTTTTCACAACAGATGCTAGGGTAGAAAGCGCCGATGAAGCAGCCAACGCTCTGCGGCTACAATAGGCCCTGATTCTCGAACTCGTAGCATGTCCCTGTGACGTACTGTAAGCAACAATACCGGCTCCAGGGTTTGTACACTTAATTATCAACCCAGCAACTGTGTCGAAGAAGTCGATCCCATTGCGCGATCATAGCTCTCCGGGAGCCAACAAGATTCCTCCGAAGACACTAAAGGGTGATGTCACTAAGCTAGCTGAGCCCGTCACAGTCATCCCAAGGACGCTTAGATGACAGAAGGTCCCCACAATGTGCAAGCATGGCGTTATTATCCTAACTTTTAAAGGCGATAGCCGGTCAGACCGCGCAAATTAGCGCCCAGCGACCCTTCCTCCTGTGCTCTCGAAGGCGGTGGAAGTGGTCACGCTGAGGCTCTGGTGGACTACTTGGGAAAATGTAACGTCTTCGCACCAGAGCAGCATGGCTTCCGTCAACACCAACCTGCTGATAGCCCGAAGTAGTTGGGCGAAAGTAGACGACGGCGAGGCCGGAATCGATTTCATCTACCTGAACATTCGAGCGTCTGGATCACCGCATCCTACTTCACAGGCTACAGAACTGTGGGATCACGGATCCTCTCCTTGGTTGGATTACTAGTATTCTTCACCAACGGAGGCTTCATGCGCGTGTTAAGAGATCAATCTCCAATTAGATTGGGGTGTAATGCGGCGTCATACATGCCTCAGTGAAAGCAAGAGTTGTTTCCTCTAATCTCGTGCTTCTCGCCGATGAGAATAAGATATGACAAGCAATTAATAGTGATGAAGATAACGATTTCCTCCAATGTGAGATGGATTTCCTTTATGAGAGGTAAACCAGAACCAGTAAATGAGCATAATTTACGCGTTACTTTATGGTTATCGAATATAACAATAATGACCGTGTATCCCGTATTCGACGATGGCCGTGGAAATGAGACAAGATTATGCCTGCGCCACACATCGTGCCGCTCAACACGCGGCAGATACCATCTGTCTTCAGATCACGTAACGCAGAATGTTTCAACACAAAACATCCGCATGGTTTACCTTATCGTAAAGCATAAAGATACACTCCAATGATCACACTTTGCCGTGACGATAACCACATGCACAATGCGGAATAGAAAGCCAATTCAGATACATCAACCAAGTTTATCGCTTAGCCAACATCAACAGAGGAAACCAACCTTTAGCCATTATCGAATAGTGATCGCTGCAAGTTTAATGGAGACCTAATCGTAAAATATCAAATTCGCTTGGAAGAAAAAGATTTCCCTACCATGAGAATACTGAATAATATAGGAAAGTAAAGAAAAAGATCTCTTTCGGCAGCTGCATGTTGGTGAATATTCTCGATATTTCATGTCGGTAAAGTTATGTCCAAGAATTTCCTGAATTCCCACACCTAATCTACGTGCCGCGGCAAGTTGTTCCGCACATTCAGTACTATCCGTTCGAAGCATAGTTAGAGAAAGACTCGCTTCAAATCCGCTACTACAAGCTTGAACCGGTGTCCCTTTTGCTGCTTGGTGTGCGCTTGATGCGCAAAGGACTCAACATTAGTAATCCCCTAATGCGGTATCATTACTCCCCTGTTTAAGGTGCTCACCGTACATATTGGCGCCTTTGGTGTAAATGTTCTCCAACGCACATCGGAGCCATAAGTAAGAGAATATTGGGGTTTCCGATACGTCTTTTATAGACAAATTAGTTATTGGTCATGGTGCAATTGCTCACGGAGCTTCTTGCTTGTAGCAGAGGCGTCCGTTTGGGTACCATGCAGTTTACCGATCCGTGTCAATGCGCCTAGTCTATGCAACCTCGGTGATTCATATTTTGCTCCGTCATGTCTAAGTTTATAAGCGGCTACCCAGATGACCGAGAGAATTGGTCAGGCAGGTACTTTAACTACCTGGCTCAGCCTATCGCGGTTACCTCAACCGTGGCTGCAACAATTGTTCCCAGAAGTGAAACTGTGTCACACGCTTAAGCATTGCAACCCAAGCGAATGGCCACGTCGGTAACCGCCTAAAAGATTGCTAAAAATAGCACGAAAGCTACTGCGACACAGAGAAAGCAGATTATCACACCGCCAGAGAAAGAAAGCACACGCCACTAAAATTGAGAACACCAAAATCAGCGAAAATTGCTAAAGCTAATATATTTTACTGTGGCTGAGTCAAAAGAACGCTCAATCATGGGCACGATATCGCACAGTCTGAATCAGTGGAAACCTATACGTCAGGAAATGGGAATCCCGCCTAAACCGGCCAAAGTGGTTCTCATTGTGCGCCACGCTAAGTCAGCTCTCTATGAGGAACCAAGATTACCTTAAGTGGCACTTCCGTCTGCAGACAAAGTGGAGACAGTGCTTTTGTCAGCTCACTATTTCCGTAATTCGATCTGGTCAGAACACAGGGTGAGCAATGCTGAGGTCCGCGAGTTGCTTTTTGGCAAGAAACCCTCTGGTGCTTCATTTTAGTGTCTGTCGAAGTTGAGTCGCTAAAGTTGGTTGAGTCATGTAATCCGTACACCAGTTAACCGCCTTCCTCGGCGAGCATTATACGCCGTCACTGCACCAAGTTGGGGGGCAACCACGAGGTGTTCCATCGATGACGTGGCATAGGGTTGTGAAGAAATTGACCGAGAGACTTGATCATGCAGGTACTTGCCTTCTTCGTGAATGGGGGCCTTGTGCTAGTGCAAACCAATGGTTAGACACTGTCAGACGTGGCACATTGTCGGAGTTGGTGGTGCCTGCATTCGGTCTCTTGCGTCTAACTGTTCATACTTCCATGTGATTAGCTTCATGCACCTCGTTCTTGCTTCCATTCTGCTAATACCACATGTAAGTCTAACCGCATTAACTTATCATTGTTCCTTATTGCCACTCTGGCGACGCGAGTCGGGGCAACTGCATCCACGGCACTTTGGTGCCCTGATCATGGTTCATCAACTGCACTGTACTGAACTGAAACAATCGGGTAATCTTTACGTATCGTAGGTTAGTTGGGAAAGAGAAATTCCAGATAGAACTTGGCTCACTTAACAGGAAAGCAGAATACGAAAAGCGAGAAACTACTCCTCTACCAAGTCATTATTATTCCTAATGTGAAAGGCCTAGTTGAAAGTGGTGCCTTTTTTCCTACAGTGGTGCTTTGGAAGCTTGTTTTCAGTCTCTCGGCATGCCCACCATAACTGTGTTTTAATATTATCTTTGATACAAATACGGGCACATCGAAAACTTATTGCTCTGGTGTGCGGCAGTTGTGCATCACGTGTACGTTCGTCCGACAACGCGATGTCCAAATTTTACCACGGTAGACCCTGTACGTAACGGTTACTACAGTGCTACGGATAAACATCGGTCAGTACAGAGCCCACAGGCATCCAGTTTTCCACGGAATATTTGACCTCAAACACAGGTCAGGATGCATCGATCGTTCGCACGTGGGCAGTCTGCGCCTCGTTGCGGAGAAACATGCAGCACCGCGGAATTTGTGGTAGACAGAGCCGCGATTGTGTGCGTCGGTTCATGGTGTGAGCTCCGATTAGATATCCTGACTGCCGTTAGAATTGCTCGGGGTTTTCTCAGGGCGCGCAATGTGCGGCAATTTACGGTGCGTCCATCACAATCGGTAGACATTTCCCGGACGCATTGTACAGTTTAAAACAATTAAGGGCAAGGTGACCCACCTGCGTCACCAGCTGGTGAGCGTTTACGAGCTTGGAGACCAAACTTTGCAGGTCTCTCAGAAATGTGACCTTTAGATACTGATTCAAGACTAGCTCGAAAGTTCGAAACAAGCAAGGAAGACGTCGAGAACCAGTAATCAACACGTCAGGCTTCTCAGAATAGCGTTCGGTAGGTTTGATCCCTCAATCTTCCCACATATACTTAGTGCCTACGTGCGACCGCAGATGAAACACGCCATCAATGCCTGGTGCCCGTGGCACAGGCAAGATCTAGCTGCTCTCGAGGTTCCTCAATGAACGGGCAACCAGGAACATTCCATTTGCCCAAAAAGCTTAGATTGAAGTCCCTAGAAATGTACAACAGTCGATATAAATGTTTGCGAATGGACCTCATAATTGTTTACCATATTCTGAAGAACCCAAACCACATTTGTAGCCAGCTGCAGGAACTGAACCACAACGCCAACCCGATTAACTTTTGAAGCTGACAATACAGTATAGCCGGCTGGAATGCCGTATAAATTTCTTATCACTTGGAGCATGTCAGCAGTGGAACGCCCTCCCAAACTGTGTTGTCCCCGTCTCAAACCTAAAGAAATTTAAAAAATCATATGAGAAAGCATTGTCCCCTTTGCATTCCATTGCATAACTTGTGTTTAGGCAGTAGGCTACATAAGGCAACCAAACGGTGTTTTGGAATTGCCAAGCAGAGCATTTATACTTAGTACCACATGAACATCTCGGCCCTTTTAAGAATGCGTCAATATGAACTTTATGGTAAGTCCACCCAAACACATCTCATTTTAACATAATCTTTTTTTCAATAATTTCTATCCTAATGGGAGTCGTTAGGCACTGCTTACACTATTAATTTACAGATGGGTCAGCAAGTCGCCTCGCTGCCACGGATAATCAAGCATGCATCATCCAAAGGAGAGAAATAAAGTAGGTCAACTCAGTGCGAACCGGGAGTGCGGACTCACTTTCGATTGCCGCGTACTCCGAAATACGAGTGTAGTTGACAAGAGCGGCTTGCTCCAAACATCCTCTTATCACCTCCCGGACTTCTTCAGCTGATGCAGGCGCACCTGTGTCCTTCATTAAAACCTACAAAAAAGTACACAAAAGATGTCAAGCGAAGGGAATGACAAAGTACTGCATGCTGCTGTGGCCAGCCAAATGTTTCAGCCTGGCAAAAAACTGCAGAGGAGAATGCGAAAGCCAAACGCTTCGCTGTACGTGTAGCAAGTAATCCCCAGCAGAATAGAGCAAAAAAGGTTACATATACGGAGGATGAGAAAATGGATCAGGGAATGGACAAGTTTAGGGGAAATTCATGAATGGTGACATTCCAAGAGATGAAAAATAATGGGATGATCATATCGTGATCTGGGAATCAGTAAGTAATGAGTGTCTACAGACTAATCCGAAAAGTAGGGGAAACTAAAAACATTATCTATTGTAGTAGTTGTATTGTTGTAGTTGTGTTTAAGGCACATTCATCAGTCCCAAATGGGCCACGAACTATCTTGTTCGTAGGTACTATTTACGACATTCAAAAAGGTTTCCACGTTTCTCGTCTGTGACCCTCTTCGGACCCCTAATAATTAATTCTGCGACTTGCCGCTGCCTGTGTGTTATCCCACAGAAAATACTGCTCCATAACTAAGACTAGTCGTAGCGGGGACGTCAGGTTTACGCGTTTTGGGAAAACCATACAGTCTAGGAATTGTGGCGTCTGTGGGGCGTACATTTTCACATAGATTCTCACTGATGTAGCCACCGTCCCTAAGCTTTGTAAGACAGTGGCAGATGTGAATTTCGATCTGCTTTATCTTGCTTTTTTGAAGCTGCTTAATGAAAAAGATAAGACAAAGCAGATCGAAAGGTAAATCTGCAACTGTCTTAAAAAGCTACATCAGTGAGAACGTAGGTGAACACCTACGCCCCACAGTCACCACAATTACCAGACTGCACGGTCTTCCCAAAAAATACTGATCCAATACGTTACATCTAGGTCCAATGAATTAGCAATTCAAACGGAGGACAGGTCAAGAAAGCAATCATCTCGTGGTAGCAGTATTTCGAAAGTCCATTGTTGTAACTGAAATGACCACGGACACAACATGCCTGTTTTATGGCGAAGTATACGATTGCCTATTAATTTAATCGAGCAAAGTACAGATTCGTTCATAGTCGAGTGCGTGCAAATTGTTCGTCGGTTGTCCTCCACCCAGTGCGCATTTACGGAGCTAGAAGTTAATCGGTCATGTTACTGTCTAGGTCATGGAGCACATTACCTTGTCCGTATTCACATATGTTCAGATTCATTTTCTACAACGTTAAAAACGTGTCGCTTGCGGCTAAATGTTCACCATTCCTGTGTGCATAAAACTCAAAATGGACTACATGGCAAATAGTGCTGCAAGATAGTACGACCGTTCATGGTAAAGTACACTCATCAAACCATAAATGTTCACCAATGAACAAGTTATTCACAAAGACAATGGAAAAGAATGAGCTGAGCTTTGCAGTTCATACATTTAATTCCAATGTAGTCGTGAGTAAACTTACGCGTTCCAGCAGACCGAAGGTCAACTTGAGAGCTCCTTCAGGACGGCCAAAAGGAAAATAGTAGCGAAATTCGGTAATCTGTTTTGTTAACAGCGTGTACAAACGCTGACGAATTTCTAAAAACATTTCCCGCTCTTCGTACAAAACGGTTCGAATGCTAGAGTCCTGCCTGCGAACACAATTGAGCACAGAGAAACAGAAGGTGCAAGTAGATGCTTAAAACACACCACTATTCTTACGCTGGTTGTTTGATATCTACAATATTGTAATTTCCAACATTTCCTAGAATGGGGGAGGGATACAATCTAGATACTATCGAGGGATGATCAACAGAAAGTTCGACGAATCAAATAGTTTGGTAAAAACGGAAAGGTCTCGGAATTGCAAACACGGCACTAAAATACTATAGAATGAAGGAATGGATATATTATAACTCAGGTAATGTGCTTGAACAGGCGCAAAAAGTAAAGAGGAATTTTTCTCCCTGATATCAGTCTCCTGCATGTAAGAACGAGTTAAATGGCGGCGAAACTACTCAGACATCAAAAGGAAATCACGCATAAAGAATGAGTTACCTATTGACTTAAAAACTCAAAATAAATGAATAGAAAAAAATATATACGTGCCACTCGAGACCTAGACCATTGAGGTGCAGTGAAATTTCAAAAGCCGTTAAGCATGTCGAAAAGCTCTTGGGAATAAGTGGCGAAACTGGTTAAACCAAGCAGTAATCGCTGTGAAGCGAGTGAAAATGAACAGTGATGGATAAGTGGATCGTGCACTGTGAACATCCAGATCGGGTGTCGCAAATGAAGTTAATGGGGCGAAAAACCAGATGCTATGATTACCACACGTAAAACAGCCGTGGATTCAGTTGCAAGCAAACTCCCAGAAGGAAGATCGGCTAAATAACCAAGTATTCAGTAGATAGTCGTTAGAAAACTGATACCAGAGTCAATTAGGGTACATGGGTTTGAAGCGTTCAAGCAAATAGTAAGGGAATTAATGGGAAGTAAGCAAAAATTCGGCATAACAGTCTCAAAAAGATGTAAATACACAGCTGATGTTGTGGTCAGCCACAAACCAAGAAGGCAGCCACAGATATCGACAAAGACAATAACTAACATGATGGCTGCGTTATGACAGTCAAGTTGTAAGTTATGATGGTCTGACGACAGATGCGCATCAATGAGCAGCACAACAGAATAGAACAGCAGTCTCATTTATTTCGGATTGATGGTTAGATTATCTGCCTTGAAAGTCAGTCTGATGAACTCAAGAAAAGCATCGTTATCCGTCACATGCACACGCGCAGAGCGTCTGTCGGTAGCGAAAATCATACCAAGGTGGAAATCTGAGCCAACAGACTGCTTGAATAAGGTTAAATGCAAAGCTGCTGAGTGAATAGACAGAATCCTACGTAACGCAGTGGATTTCATCGGATGCGACAAAAGGTCCGGCAACTCCCTACTAATGTAACAATTAGACCAAATAAGTCCATTTCGATAGGATGCTGATCCAGTCGATGGGAAAGAGACTGACCGAGCACCAACAGTAACAGCGAAGAACATGGCGTAATACTGCGGTGGTTGTGTGCAGAAAGAAAGGGGCCGGGAGGCATCGAAAGAAAATAAATCGGCGAGCGAAGCAGCGCCGGTGTAGCACTTTCACGTCACAGTCCATGTGGCGAGGAATGCACCGAAACTGAAGTAAGCTGCGATGGATGGTTCAGTTTCTGGAGAAGTGGAATGTGATCGACGAAATGTGCATACGCGAACAGAGCAAACTCTAATCGGTCAGATACTAACGCTTGCACGACACAAAAACATATCAGACTGCTGTGACACTCAAACAAGTGGATAGCAAAAAAGGGTGTAAAGAAACGCACTCCGAGCAACATAACCGATTGCAGAAAAAACCTGATAATAGCAGATAGGGGCGTGTTATTGATGCGAAGTGCATGTTGTTGGACAATCGATGGTAGCAACCAAAGAGTACGCATGCCAGACCTAGAATTTAATAGTTTAATCAAAGCCACAAGGATCAAATCTAGTTTTCTAAAGATTAGGTCGTTCCATTAGTGGTGGGAAGAGAATCCAACAAATAAAATCTTGAGACTATGCACGCCGATAATTGGCAGATCAAAGCGAACGTGAAAGTAAGACAACCATAGTTAATAAGTTAAGTGATGTGGCCAGTTAGTTTAAGCAGTGGTCTGATCAACAAGCAGTTAATTCTGACAGACGTATTCCCAAGCGACAACACAATGAATAGAGGGGACAATGACCGAAAAGCGCTAAGTGCACAGAACTAAAGTTGGACATATTCCAATAAGTGCTAGACCCAGGTTGAATGAGCGAGACAATGGTGGGCACCAACGTAAACCCACGGAATAAAATGTGAAAGCGATAAAATGAAATAGGGAGAAGAAAGCAGGCAGCGGCAGATCGCCGGCGATTCCAACGGATGTGATTGGGAAGCAACGTACATTCAAAACAGGCTAAAATCGTAGTGCTTAAATGTTTATCCCCATCAGAAACAGCTTACAAGTGCTATCGGTTGTTAGAGTAATTTGTGCTGCAAATGGGCAAACTGACGTAATTGTTTAAAACACGACTGTCTGGACGTCATACATGGCTACCGGGCAAATGTGGGACTCGGACGGAGGAAAGCGCACACTGAATGGGCAAAGAAGGGGCATTAAATCAGGTTAAACCTCTGGGTACGTCGTTTGGCATAGCACTGGCGTCAAATCATTCACTGTCAAAAAGTGGGCCTAGCCAATCATTCATCGTCTGCCTATGGGAATATAATGGCAAGATACGAAAATTTGAACAATGGAGCACTCAATTAAAATTTTTGGTAGTCTGACAGGCACGGAGGAGCGATGAATGTGAAGCACAAGTCCTTGCTAATGAGTTTTGACTAAGGAAGTCGGTATTGTTGTAGGCTGGAAAACGCATGCGATGCTCATCAAGCATGGCTCATTGTTACAGTCTGTACGCACATCATCGGTGACTGATAGGCAATGAATCGTGTTTCACCGTAGGACAGATGACACAGGAAAACCATAGTGAGAGCAGCCGTCAATCGCGGTGAATTGGACCAAAGTCTGACCACTTGATGGTTTGCGTGTCTGCTAGTCTAGACAGCAGATGTCCTAAATAAGTCGTGTGTTGTGTGGAGCAGAGGAGCGGTTCTAAAAGCAGTGGATATGAATAGAAACGACGATAGGGAGAAAAGTTGCCCAAATGATCCTGAATAGTTATACTGAAATGTTAGGTGGAAAAGTGTGAGAGTAAATACGTACCCACAAGCCACTGAAAGAGCGGGATTTCCATGAAATGCGGTTGAAGAATAAGCAAATTATCAGAACCGATATAACAGCATTTTTACTTACTATCGGATACAACTAGGTAGCTCATGGGACAACGTAGATGGATCATTCCAATGGTATATCTAAAATCGTGGTGCTGTCCGAACGATGTCATCGACAAGATAAATTATGAGATCTTCCTTCACAAACCGAGAGTGTTGGCGACTCATTGCACCAATGTGTCCGGGATTTCCTCGAGCACGAGAGATGATGGCCCAAGTCTATATCCATCTGACCGAATGCTATCCCCAATCAGCGGCGTACCCAAAGGTACGGTGCCAGGGACAACAATGTTCCTTAATTTTATCAATTAATTAATTAGTTAATAATATCGACGACCTACCTCAGCTTCTTCGGTTGCAATGTGCCCTGTTTGTAGACGATTTGAAGAGGTGCAGAGTGATGAGCACTTCCGACGACTGCGACCTACATCAGCCAGAGCCCAATCGCCATTTCATGTGGTCTGCAGAAGTCCACTTACTGGTTAATCCATCCAAGTCGGTATTCATTAGCATGCAGAAGGGTGGTGACGACCGAACCCACACACTTAACGGCCAACTGCAACAATCCACACCTTCCGTGAAGAACCTAGGCATACTCTCATGCTGCGATTTAGAGCACGCTGACAACAGAAACAGGCTGCACCGAAACGGACTGCGCATGCTCTGATTTCTCAAACGTAGCCTTTGTATCCGGTCTGAGGAAGTTGCCATTTAGCCTCCTCTTCTCCTCCATCATCAGACCAATGCTAGAGTATGGCTCGCACGCCTGTTGCTGGACCACTTTTCAGGTGAGATCCGGAAGATCAAACGGGCGCAACACGCCCCTATCAGGCTCATACACAGTTTGCGAGCCTTGCCATAAAGAACAGGTGCGAGAATCTGGGACTATACATCACAGTCTACCGTCGGTTGCAAGTCGACCTCAGCATAACCTACACATTCCACAACTAAGTGACTTCCTCATACTGAAGCCAATGCTCCACTTGAGAACACCTTACTACACACGCGGACACAAGTACAAGCTGTGGTTCAAGAAGTGAAGCAAGCTCCTCCTCCTCTGCACTTGGAACGGAGTGGTAATTGCATGGAACACTTTTCCGGAGCATATAGAAAAAGAAAGCTCAGTGCAGCAGTTAAAAACGATTGCTGAACGTGCATTGCCAAATGCAAGATTTCGAAAACCTTTAGTCATTGAAATCGCACATTAATGATTCCCAATCCATTGTGACTTACGATATCTATTTGCTCCCACGACACAGTATACAGTATAGAGTAATCATCAACGTGTATGTAATATGACATCGCAATGAGGCTGGACCATACCGTGGTGCGATGGTTTGCGTGCCTCAGTGATCCATTGAGCTATGCTGGGTGGTGAATTTTTGCACTTTCAGAGCCACTCATACCAGATTGGTCAATAGTTAGAGGCCAGACAAGCTCAGCCTCCTTGACCTCCAGTGTCGGGGTTGGAATGGGGGTGGCTCCTTACTCCATAAAACGGGCTCTCTGTAGTCCAATGCCAAAACCCCCTGCCTTGCGGTAAGGTTTGTGAACCAAAGGCTCTGGTTAAGAACCCTAATAGTTCTCCTGTCTAGGCCTAGGCAACCTGACAGTATTCTGCAAACGCAATACAATGAACCTTTCCTACAACAATTTCTTGATGCTCTGGCAGTCGCAGAGGATACTCAACGGCGCTCCACCTGCTGAATCGAGCAGGGTAGATACGGGTATGGATGCTACTGCTCAGGCCTTCCCGTCTTATCCCCTACTTGCGCTTCTTCATCCTTATCG